GAGGGTGTTTTTGAATAAGTTAAAATCTAAATCAGTGAACTTTGAGTAAAGCAAATTGTCCTCCATAATGTGGATGGGCCTCATACAATCAGGTGAAGTCCTCAATGAAACAAATGGATTGACCAACTCTTTAATAAGACAGGATTCTCCAGATGATTACCTTTATACTGAAACTGTAGCATCAGCTCACCCTGCATCTCTAATCTGATGGTTTCTAGACCTGAAGTACAACATCAATTCTCACTGGGTTTCCAGCCTACTGGCCTTTTCTTTCCAGGTTTTGAACTTGCTAACCTCCATAATCATATGATTCAATTCCTTATAATAAATCTAATTATAAGAAATAATCATACACATCCTACTGGTCCTGTTTTTCTGGGGAACCCTGAATAACTGAGTATGAAAGACTGATAATGGCAATTCAAGATAATAAAAATGTCATTAATGAATAAAGTAGCACCCAAGATATTCCACATTATTAAAGAATAATTTTTTTGAAAAAAAAAAAAGTCCTGAATTAAAAAAAAAATTCTTAAGAAACCCTGATAAAAAACTGGCAACATTGAGATATAATATGATTAATATATTAGACTTTATAAATAAATAAGGAACTATCTTAAAGGCATCTTGGCCTCAAAGTCACCCATAAAAGTAGGGAAACAGACTGGCCTTAGCCTTTGCCAAATGAAGTGCTTATAAGATAGTGCATAATGTATATGTAGGGTGTATAGAATGGCTTCTCTGGATGGCATAAAAATCCCAACAATTTTTTATCTAGTCAAGTTGCCATTATAGTATAAAACCATTTGTACTTTTTCAAGAATTTTGAGACTATAGTATGTATGGGACTTTGAGGCACTATGCTTTAAATCAGTACAGCAAAACAGGAATGAAACAATTTAACAGATTTATGTAGAAAACCACAGGACCATATTGATAGTTCTAAAAATATCATTTGGTCAAACTCAACACCCATTCATGATAAAAACTAGGATGTAGGAAACTTCCTTGATCTCTCTGTGCCCCCTCACATGAGCATATAAAAGGAAAACAGCCATCTGCAAAGTAGGAAGAGTGCTCTCACCAGATGCCACATCTGCTGGCACCTTGATCTTAAACTTCCTAGCCTCCAGAACTGTGAGAAGTAAGTGTACATTGTTTAAGCCACCTCATTTATGGCATATTTATTAGAGCCTGAACTGACTAAAATAGTCCATCAGATTAGAAAGAGTGCAAGGCTGTCTGCCCTCACTATTTCTAGCCAACTTTTTTTCCTAGAGTTCCTAGAGAGTTCAATAGGAGAAAGAATAATAAAAGGCATACTGTTTTAAAAGAAAAATAATGTGCTTTATTTTAGTGACCTAACTCGGTACATAGAAAATATTAAACAATCTCCACCAAAGTTATCAGTACTGATAAGAAAGTCTAGCAAGGTCACAAGAAATAAAGAAATTTATATGGTTAAAATATTTATTTTCCTCAAATGGATCTGTAGATTCAGTGTAATCCCAATCAAAATTCCAGAAAACATTTTTGTGGAAATTGTTCTCAATTTTATAAGGAGAGATGCAAATTACTCACATAGTTTTAAAAATAAGAACAAGATGAAGGACTTACATTATTTTTTTCTTAAAGAGTCAGAATGTAAATATTTTTGATTTGTGGGGCAGATGGTCTGTTGCAGCTACTTCACTCAACATTTATGGCATGAAAACAGCATAGAGGATGTATAAACAAATGGGTATGCCTCTGTTACAATAAAATTTTTTTTATAAAACAGGTGGCCATATCTCAGGCCATAGTTTGCTGACCGCTGTTATAGAGATGCATATTGTGTTATTGATATGAATGTAAACATATAGATCAGTAGATCAGAATAGATCAGAAATACACCCACATGCTATTGGCTGATTGATTTTCCATGAAGGTGCTAATAAAGACTTTGAAAGACTAAAGAATGACCTATTCAATGAGTGGTGCTAAAATACTTGATATTCACATGAAATAAAATCAATTTTAGCCCTTATTCAGAAAAACTGAATTAGAGCATAGACTTAAATGTCAAGGCTAAACATAAAATTTCTAGGGAACTTAAGAGAAACCAAATTAAAGAGCCATAAGCCTGTGAAAGATGTTCAATTGTGAAAGATGTTCAATATCATTCATTAATCATCAGGGAACTGCAAATTAAAACCTCAATGAGATATTAATGCTGACCAATAGGAACAGATACAATGATAGAGATTATAATACCAAATACAGGCAAAAATATGGAGTAATTGACACTCTTTTTATTTCTTGGTAAAAATGCAGAATAATCACACTGTTTTAGAAATCTGGCATTTTTCAGAGGAATGTTGAAAAAGAAAAGCAAAGCTGGTAGCATCACAATTCCGGACTTCCAGCTCTATTACAAAGCTGTCATCATCAAGACAGTATGGT